TCTGTGGCTGGCATCTTCAGAGAATGCTGGAATGGAAGAGAGTAGGTAGGTATATATATCTATATATATATGAACTTTCATATATATATATACTGTGAGACCCTGGGTAGGGAGGAGTGATTCCCATGTAAACTATGTATTGTTCTGTTGTTGATGGCAGGGCTTCAGGGTATGCAAAAGAGGATTAGTGTCTGCTAATTGGTGATCACTGTCTGCTGGGAACAACCCTGACCCTGAGTAGTTTCTCATTTGCATTTTCTGAGTGCTGATTTTTCTAATTTGCAGGACTGGTAGCCAAACTTTGTTTACTTTAAGGCAGGGGTAGGCAACCTTTCCCCTTTAAGGGCCGAGGGACTTCAGCTCCCAGAAGCCTCAGCCAGGTTGGCCAATAGTCCCATGTTGGCCAATAGCTCCTGGGATTCTGGGAGCTGAAGTCCCTCGGACCTTAAAGGGGAAAGGTTGCCTACCCCTGCTTTAAGGGTTTCTTCTTTCCTGTTGAAGTTGTCCAAGAATTCCCTAGCATTGAGTCAGGGCAGTTGAAACGATCTCAAACTGAATTATTTCTGTAAGGTGTTGTGGACCCAAGTTTCCAGTCTGATTTCAAGATGTTGTTTGAGACCTCAATATTTAAAGGAGAGCTTCTCCAAATATAGTCCTGCCTCAGAATTGAGATCTGTTGGAGGGGTCCTGCTCTGTGGGACCAATATAAAAATATGGAAGAGGGCCTTCTCAGCTGTGGCTTTCTCAGACTACCGTTCCCAGAATTCCATAGCATTGAGCCCTGGCAGTTAAAGTGGCGTCAAAGCAGATTATTTCTGCAGTGCGGATGCAGCCCAGGGTTCAAATCTCTGCTAAGCCATGGAAGCCCACTGGGTGACATTGGGCAAGACATGCTATCTCAGAGGAAAGCGATGGCAGATCCCCTTTGAATGACCCCTGCAAAGAGAATCTGTAATAGATTCACCTTAAGGTTGCCATAATTTGGAAATGAGTCGAAGGCACACAACACAAAGGAAGGGTAGGATGGCTCCCTCCATACGCTCCTCCTGCAAGTGAAATTTTTCCCATTATAGCAGGCTTTCACAGACTGACTGCAATGGGCTTTTAATAACTAAAATTAAAAACAAGAATATCCCCACCACAAATATTTATTTGGAAACAAGTCTTAGGGTGCGTCTACGCTGCAGAAGTTTGCAGAAGTTTGACACCCCTTTTAAGTGCCAGGGCTCCTTGTGAGATACAGTTTTCTAAGTACCAAAGTACCAAATCAAATTAATCAGGACAAAACAAGTGAAGCAGTCATTTCCATTTTATTAGTTAACATTCTTGCAATTCTCTCAGCTCCCATCCATCTGACAGAATCTTGGGATTTGTAGTTTGGTGAGGCGCCAGGGAACCAGTGTGGCGCAGTGGTTTTAGCGTTGGACTTGGACTCTGGAGACCGGGGTTCGAATCCTCACTCAGCCACAGAGCCCCACTGGGTGACTTTGGGCAAGTCACACTCTCTCAGCCTCAGAGGGGGGTGGCCACAGGTAACCATCCTCTGGACGAAACTTGCCAAGAAGAAAACCCTGCCATGAGAGAGAATTCAAACAAAGAAACCCACCAAACAGGGATGATAGTTTTATATCGGCCAACCAAAATGCACAATATACATGGATTTATTTCTGTGGGGTGGAGGCCACCTGGCAAAAAGAAACCCACACACTTAGGGCCTATACAGATTGCCAGAAATAATCCATCTTGAGGCCACTTTAACTGCCCTGGCTCAGTGCTAGGGAATCATGGGAACTGTAGTTTATTGTGGCACCAGAGCTTTCTGACAGAGAAGGCTCAATGTCCCAGAAAAAAAAATACAATTCCCATGATTCCCTAGCACAGAGCCAGGGCAGTTAAAGTGGCCTCAAGGTGGATTATTTCTGGCAGTCTGTTCAGGCCCTTACCCTTCCTCTGAGGCAAGCCTGCCATGGAAAACTCCCTCAGGGCCTTAAGGAGGCAAGGAAGGAGGCGGCCTCTTCAGACGACGACGCCTCCGCCTCCGCCTCCGCCTCCG